TTAAGTACAGGTAACATAACGCTCACTGCAGGAATTTACGTAGTTCAAGTTTCCAGTAACATTGAAATAAGTTGGAAACTATTAATGTTACTTGCAAGTTATTAAACCTTAACAGTGATACAGACAAGTCGCTGTTACTCCTGCAAACCACCACATATCAACTTGAAAGTAACTCTTACTGCAAAGTTGTGGTTTTAGTTCTAATGAGGTGGGTAGAACCTCACCTAAAAGATCAAAATTTCGGAATTCAGAACAAGTAATCGTGTGGTAGCAATTACTAATGGAAACAACTATACAGTATTGTTGACCAATTGGTTAAGTTAATTTTTTTCTTAAGCCTAGCGCGCATTGAGTCGGGACACCACGCGCGTACGGTACGGGACGATCCGCACCCATCCGCCATCCTTCAAAAAGTGCGGGAGAAGAATTTCAGGGCATCCCGACGTGCCGTACCGATGAGTTATCCGCTGTTTCGGCGCCGTCCACAGGGCGAGCACGTGTTTCAGTTCGGACGGTCGGTTTTCTTAGTAGTAACGTATTCACAACGTGTATTGGTACCACTGGCAGTCATCTTGAATCAAGTCAGGAAATAATGAGTGAAACTCTTCAAATTCCAACCTCTTTCGATTGTGAATCTGGGTTTGCTTTGATTTCTTGACGGGTCCGTTAACTTGCCCCCCCCCCCCCCCCCCCCCCCCACTGAGAGATTTGATAGTCGTATTAGACTTTCTACTCCTGAATCTCGCCCTAGGCAATGTATTTTTCGTGGCTAACCAAAACAAAATCAATAAAGACCGTTATTATTATTATATTATTATTTTAAAACTAGATCACGGCGTTTAATTAACAATCGCCGTTTTGTGTGGTTTACCGTTTGTCAATTTTTTGTTTTTTTGCTTGATTGTTTTGATAATGCAGTTTGAACCGTGTTCTGTGTGGTTAGAATATTGTAAAAGGCGAAAAAAGAAGAAAGAGACTTGATTCGCCTCAAAATGAACTAATATATTGATACTCTCTTTTTTAGTCAATCTCATCCTATAGGTTGGTAAAAATGCTTTGCATTTTAAATCTCCGCTAGAGTGAGTTTATTTCTCACAAATACCGCCGAAAATAAGAATGATGCGTTTTGCGCACAATACGACTTTTTGCGTATGCGTTTTATTTGCTTTTATTAGATGGACTTACCATCCAAATTTCGTTCAAATTGCTCCATAAATAAGACAGTTGCGCTCTCCGCATGCGCAATACGAGTTTTGAAAAGCGCATTTCATTTGTTTTTGTTAGGACCCACAGAGTTGTACTCGTATATAGTAAATAGAGGAGCTTAACACAGGACCTGCGCGTTGCAAAATTAACTCCAACTACAGTGCTCACATACTTATATAGTTTTAACGGCCAAGGCGTTGTGGCGCATTCGCGGTGCGTTTTGCTCGCACCTACGTTGTTTATTGGTCACTATATCTTCATCCGGTTAGTGCGCACACTCGTCAACGGACTGCGCAAGATCAAATTGGAGTGAATTTTATGCAACAACACTGTCTCTCTATTTATTACATACAACTCNAAATGAATGCGCTCGTTATGCGCTCATATGTGCCACCGATAATAACTCTTGCGCCATTATCGTTTTTTAGAAATCCGAAAAAACATTTGGGGGGGGGCCAAGTGAACGTAGCCCCCCCCCCCCCCCGTACGTATTTTGTCCCTTGTAACTAAGTCACCTGATACATTTGGTTATGCGCTCAATTGCGCCACTTGAATTAAAGCTAGCGCCATTACGGTTAAGCCATAAAAAATTTATGACACTTCTTCTTCTTCTGCCACTATTACACGAACAACAATTTATTCTTCACTTAACATAACTTAGTTACTGTAGAAAGGTTAGGAGGAGACCCACTATACATTTGAAAATATCCATGCCCAAACCCGGATTCGAACAAAGTACCGCAGTCAAGCTTCAACTCAACTGCGCCACACTTTCTCTTTATTCACATTGTGTGGTTTCACGTGAAAGGTGCCGTGCGATTTCGCGAACAAAAATGACGAAGAGTTATGTATTAACCCTGTCAGCTTGTACCGGTCATATTATACACCACGCAAATTGTAGTTTTAACAAAAGGAAAGTGTTAATGGAGCTTTATTTGCCAAGTGGGTGAAAATCGTATTTCGGCAATTTCCGGCAATAGTTGAGGTTAGAAACAAAAATGTTCAATGGAAAAGTTGCAGACCTTGAAAAAATTACAACTTTTCTCCAGTCACACATAACCTCAAAATAACAGGAAATTTCGGAACGCCATTTTTTTTATTTTTCCTTTTCGCAAAAATTGTTTTATTTCGAGACTTGGTGAAAGTATATTTTTTTGTATTTTAAATAAAAAATGTCCGAGATATTTGTTTTTTCCGGTAAAACTTTTTTTGTCAAACGAAAATTGTCCCCTTCTATTTGGCAAACTCCTACTCCAAAATCGACAGTGATCGACTGAGATCTCAAACCAGCGGACGAACGGACAGAATTAGTAAACTTTAGTATTTTTCATTAAAAAGGTGCTAAAAATATACGTAAAAATGAGTACCACTCGTTTTTTCCTTAGCCATTGCTTCAGTATAGAGAGCATTATAAAGGGATCCTAATACCTATCAATAGACGACGATTTTAAGAAGACTTCATTATGGTAATGAAGAATTTTCCATACAAAATTGTGAGTAAACGAGTCTGGTGGTGCAAACTATAACCCTCTACAATAACGTTCGCAATAAATTGTTTTTTTATCAATCCTTTTTTCAACAAGACAGGATGAGAGTAACGTTTTGCAAAAAATGTTAATAAATTCTTATGCAAGGATGCCTAGATCGAGGGGGTAAAAAGGAGATCTTGTAAAAATAAGGAATTCACACTATGAGGGTTAATGAAGAGGAGGAAGTTAATTCAAATACTAGTCGAATGATAAAGGATGTACTGTTGGAAACACAATTGCCTTCAATGGAATTGTCTCGTCATTTGTGCAACATGTAACCTACATCTGAAGGTGTACCACATATATTTTTGTATACTGATGACCTCCTGTCTTCCCCCATAATTTATTTTTAGATATGCTGTTTTGTCTAGTAGGACGTTTTTGTTTGCTATCTTCAAACCAAAAGATGTTGCACTTATACCTACATAAGTAGGACAAAATGCCAAAAATGTTGACGATGGTATTTGAAGTCTATTTAATGTGAAAATGACAAATCCAAAATTAGTCATCTTATAGCGTAGTGCATTTTCCAGGAATTGATCAGTACTTCCCTAAAAGTCATGTAACGGACTATTTGTACAAAGGATAATAATTTAAGGCGTAAATATTCTTATAAATAAGAAACTTAGCATTGTGCAGTCTATGCATGCGCACACCTGATGTTTAAAATATGCGATATGTTTGTCGGTACTAGAAAAACCTTTGGTTAAAACATAAACAAAATATTTCTATAAATAAGAACCGTGACATTGCGCAGCTCGTTGCGCAGTCCACGCATGCGCACCTAAATGGTCACGATTTTTCTTGATTGAGGTGCCAGAGCTATTATAAGCTACAGAATGCAAAAAGAACGAACTGAATATCTTGAGATCAATCAATTTTCTGTATGACAACATAAAATATGCATATGGTTGATATACAAAAAATGGAGACATTCGTTCCATATTTAGAAGATTTATGAAATCTAGCAGATCTACAATAACCTGTTCAATGTTTCGTCTTTAAGATTTACTTTTGCACGATACGATCTCCCCGTGTAATGCAACAGGCACCGTGCATCCTGACAGCACACGGCATGCTATACATTTCATAAATTTTCTAAATATTGAATAACGAATTGCTCTATTTTTTTGTATACCGACAATATGCATATTTCATGTTCTCGTACAACAAATTGATTGCTCTTTTCAAATATCGTAAAAAAATAAAAATTGCATCGACTTCCGGTTACCGAAAATCAAAGAACCGAAAAATGTCATTTTCCAAAATGCGCTGGCGTTCATTTATATTCCAAAGATATCAAAACATAATTTTCACAAACCTTTAGTGATTTTGGCTCAGCTTTTTGAGAGCTAAATCAACATTTTCATCACTTGTGAGTTTCGAGTAGTAAATCACATCAACTTCCTTACGCCATATTCAAAATTGACGTTTGTAAACAAAAATTTTTCTTGTCTAAACAACAACAAAGATTATTATTATTCCCCATCCAACATCGCAAGACAACACTTTCCTTAATCCTTAAAGAATGTTTTAAAAAGTGAGAAATGACGTTGACTTGTCTTAGATCGACTGAAAAATCTAGTTTTTGATTATATTAAAAGGTACAGTGGACAAACTGCCAAAAACTATAGCAAATATGGGAGCTGCCCCTAACATTTATAAAGAATCGGCATGTTTTGGATCAACCGAAAAATAAATATTGCTGAAAAATTATAGCCTGAAGATCTGAGTAACAAAAATCTTGCCTCTAAAATTCATAGAGAAGACTTTTTCGTAAAATTATAATCTGAAACTCTTCTTCTGAAGCGGCCGAAAGCAAAACACAAACGTGCACTCACCTACTAGCAAAGAAATGTCGTATGTGCATTTTTCTTCCAAGAATAAGCAATAAGTTTACAGCAAATCCTTTCTGAAATGACAATGACAGTAATTGGCGTTACTTAACTTCGTTACTACATAAGAAAATGTAAACCGGCGTAATAAAATCCAGCAACAAATTTTTGTCAATTTTGACATCTAAAAGTGTACGTGTTGCAAGGTATGATCGAGAGGATAATTCCACGTTCGAACGGTTGCACGGATATGCAAATTCAGAATTCCATTCGACCTGACGCAGGATAGTTTCTAAGCGTCGTCGTAGACTAAAACTGCCAGCAAACCCCAATTTCTCTGTGCTTTATATAATTGAGTGCTGGGGCGATAAATTTATAAATTTGTTAATTGCGCATATACATATACGGTTAAAAAAAGTCACGCACTCACCCAAGACCAGGACTCGACCATGTTCTGCAAATTTTCTTTCACTGCGTTGGAGAATTCGTCAACTGCGACGACCTGGTTATTCAAATTCTTCTAAAACGAAGTAGTTAATAAATTTCGGAATATGGGAAATTGATAAAACTCACGAGACGCTTCTCATAAAGCATCCCCTGTAGTAATCGTGTAGTGTTGTCGAGAAACTGTTTCTGCAGCTTCTCAAAGTTCTTGGAGGAACGAGTTTCGCGCGCGATGTCACTGTCATCTACTTGAATTGAGCTATTTATCTCAATCAAAAGCACCGCCAACAGTAGCGCACGTACGGACATGATTAACCACACCGTCAGACTGGTCGCTGTAATACAAATGAAAGTAAAATAGATCGTCGTCAATGTAATATCGAGTAACGGAAACCCTGTTTACTCGAGCATTCCCTGTTATTATATGAAAAAGTGAGTATTTAGTAAATAAATTACGAGTTCGCGAGGACTTTCCATTTAAGTAGTATAATTAAAGAGAGACAAATCAGTTCCCATTCGTACTCTCTATTCCTGACTTATTTGTGACAGTGCAATTATTTTAAAATGTCACATTTCATTTCTTGATCAAAAATTGTGTAATGGATTGTTACTGTCATTGCTATTTTTGTAACAATGTGATAAATTGCATAGAGCGTGCTCAACGAGCCTCGGGTAAAAGCGTGATTAGATTAAGTGTCACTTTAATATAAAATATTTTAGTTACAGGAATATGTCTTCATTCTTTGCCCCGTACCTAAATATTTGGGGCTGCAAGCGACAACTTTTCTCTATACGATTTCTTGACAAAGTCCTTTAATATTTTCCTTGTCACAGTTATTGGCGAAATATTACATTATACTCAATAATGTCGGATACAAATCACTTACAGTAGTTTCGTAAATTTTAGGGACTAACAATAAAGGAAATGGTGTTCATAATCTAAGCTTGGCGGTCAGCATCAATGTTTCCACGCGATGTATCTCGGGCCGAGGTTGTTGGATTAGAGATTGCAACGAGAAGAGCTTCGAACTGTGCCTTTAGCGTCTAATCTCCGAGGTAGAGTCGCGAACTCTAGAGCGTTTAGATAATTTCATACAAGCAAACTCCCGTAGAGGGTAACAAATATAAACTTGGGTCCGTGTAACTGCTTCGCCCTGAAAATAACGCCTATTGTCTCTCTAATAATTGCGAAATTGATTTAAGCTTTGTTTCAGACATACCTTTAAAGTTATTTTTTAGTAAATACATGACGCAAGGATACCAAACAATGGATGTCTTACCAGAACATGACATTCCGCGCAGTGTGGCATTTAGTAACTATGCCTCAACTTCGGGATGAAAAGCATTCCATACCGACCACATGCTTCTGAATAAACATACGGCCAAAGGCAAAACACTGCTATAGTGCCTGTTATATTTACGAAATTTACGTATATGCCTCCTATTTTAATTTATGAATAATTATGTGCAACATTACGAGTATTTTTGTCGGCTTCGTCTCGCGCCTAAATTTTCACTTACGAATTCAACGTAAAGTTAACAATTTTACTGCGGCAGTGAAAATGACAAAACTTCATTGCAGTTTCCTTTGACTGTAGTGAGTTTTTCTTGCGGGATTTTTTATGAAAAACTATCGTTGCGAAAATTATGTTGTCGTATTTTTTTCTGATAATACGCGCGTCATATTTGGCTTGAATGTGCCATGGAGTATTATACACATTTTTAAACAGTATTAGTTCTTGTGTACAGTACAGGTACGGTGACCATATAAAGGTATACGAAGGCAATTGATTCACTTTTAAGTGGGATATATCTTAAGATCAAACGCAAGTTTGAATTCACTTCTTTTATGCTGATACATATAATTTTTAGCAGGTAACCAATGTTGAGGACCATTATTCTCAAGACGCGCAAAATGGCTGGTCCGTAAACGTGCGACATGCATATTCGTTATTGCTGCTATCGAGCAATAGGAATCCTTATTTGGAGGCAGGTATTTTCTTTGGTTAATATTAGAAAAGAATTACATATTTATAATTTCATTTTTCAAAAGGACAACCGGATCCTGACCAGCTACTTTCTTGCTAATTGTGTGTTTTCAGACTGTTTTTCTAGGTTAACGTGATAAATTGATGTCCCGGGTTATTACTAAGTTTAGTCTTTTTTCCGTATTTCGGGCGTCTTTGGTCAATGTCCCTTCTCACGTCGACAACCTTAGATAGCTACATTTTGCCTTTCAGATCAATTTTTTCAAGAAAGGCACTATTTTAATATTCTCAAATTTTCCTACGTCTAACATATCTTTCATTTCCATTTCCAGATGCAGTCGTTCTCGGACCATTTGATATCTCCCACATTTTACCAAAACCTGTCGCCCATTAAGCCGTGCACTACCTGAGGGGTGGCACACTACCAGAGGAAAAGGTATCTCCTGTTGTCGTATCGTGGCCACGGGCTTGCAAAGGATAAACGGTGCCGACATGACGTGTTCGATATACGTCAACCATGTCTATATACCATGCACGAACTCTGACAGCTCAGGATGGAGCGGGGGATCTAGGGTTAACCGCCCACTCCAGGAGAAGACAACCTCAGCAAATAACCTAAATACTAAGGGTCAGAATGCCGGACCGAGGGGATGCGTGGTCGAATAGAGGATCCGCAACCACCCGTCCCAACCTTGGAGCACCGGGCGCCACTCAGTATAAAGCCGCCTTACACGTATAAATATAAATTTAAAAAAATAAAAAGATTAAAAATCTTAAAAAATATAACAAAAATAATAAAATAAAAGGAGCAAGAATGGCCGCTAACCACATACATTTTTAAACACGCACGCCACTATTTTTACTGCCAGTCCTAAGCCTGGATGAACGGTGCAGGGAAGTAACTACATCAAATGACACCCATAGCCAAGGGAAGCGGCTCTAAAAAGGCAAAATCTGGAACCACAAAGGTTACTAGAACCTTATAGCGAAGCAGCTACACGCTTCAGAATGGCTTTTGTCCATGAACAACTGGAAGGGGTGACGGGGCGAATTAAAGTCTGGATCTTTGACAGAGTCGGCGCTTTGTCAATTGGGGCGGTTTCGCGCTGTTGGTCACATGCTGGAGTTACAACCAGAAACGTGTTGTAGATAGGAAGGAGGACCCTAAGGTACATATTTTGATGGTGCTAATGGGCCAAATTTCCTGGGACAAGATGGAGGCCACTTGCAAATATGGACTTCCGTGAACTTCACCAGAGTGACGTTCAAACTCCTCTCTAAGACGATGGTGGAGGAAGCAAAGGAAGTGGCAAGCATGGAGTGCGAGGAAGAACCACAACCAACTGTGTAAACCACCGCACTTCAGTAGGTAAGCATGGTTTTATTATTTCCCGTATGGTAAAGCGAGTTCAAATTAATCCGCATCACCGTAGGGCGCGACATCTGCCACCCTCTGCGCATACATGAGCAAACATCATATTGATGTAGCCCTTGTACAAGAACCTAAACAGGGCTAATACGAGGTCTGAGACTGAAAGGATAAAAAAGGTTCATTACTGAGTCAACGGAAATAAATCCCAGAGCATGCATCTTATCCAGAAGTAGCGTTAGGTAAATACTCTACCACTATGGGAATGGATGGAATCTTTCCTGCTCTACTACAACAACGCCTCGACCTGATAGACTCCAGACTATGTACGATCACCGACTAAAGTAAAGATAATCGGAAGCTTACTGCCACTTAGGCAATCAACCATACACTATCTAAGATGACAACGTTAAAGTGTAAGTTTTCCGGCGGGGATTCGTGTGGGATGTGCATTGTTGTCTTTGCTTCGGAGTTTCCTCGTCACTGCCTTGACATAAACGCTACAATAAGTATACTTACAACATTTGTTAATTTATACTCCCTCGGCATTTAAAATCCCATTTCCTTTTAATGAAAGGATCATAATATGAAGACACTAGTTATCTATCTAGTAATTAACAAGGTGTTTATTAACATTGTTATGGGCCGCACGCGTACCGCCTTCTTCCTTCTTAGCAGTTTCGTGTTGATATAAAGGGAGTAGTCGGTATATTGCAACAATTGGGAAAACCAATACGTAAAATTGAATTTGTCCAGAATAGAATGTTATGTTGCCAATTCTTGTAATTAGACCTGCTCTTGCGTTTATATCAAGGCAGTTACGAAGAAACACCGAAGCAAGGACGAAAATGCGCGGCGCCGTGCGGTCCATGCCACACAAATCCCCGCCGGAAAACTTACACTTCAACGTTGCCATTTTAGATAGCGTATGGATGTTTGCCTAAATGGCCGTAAGATTCCGATTATCATTACTTTAGTCGGTGGTCGTACGTTATTAGGGGCATGGTTTGTTCTCTGGGATATATACCTATGATGTGGAGGGAAGTAAAAGTCGTATTCATACCAAAACCTGGGCGTGACTCGTACGTGGACGGACTGCTGGGGCGGGCTATACCAAATGACATCCGGTAACTGATCTCTAATGATTAGATGCAGCTCATTTAAATGATGTTTTAAACCATTGCAATTTCATTGTGTAAATGTAAGAACAAATAACAAATAAGTCGTAATGTTCCTAGGGGGTCTATCAAGCTGACACCGAAAACGCTGACTTACCCTATACTTACCGTTGGCAACTCTGGAAAAAATCTACAAGCAGAAGCGCCTACCTTTCAAGTCGAAACGATAGACGTTTCGCGGTACTTTTGAATTTGGATGGCAGTCGGCACGATATGGGTGGCAAGAATGAACTCCTACGTTGTGTAATTGGTTCTTGTATGTGTTGGGACGTGAGACATAATCGGGAAGGGATTGAAATAAAAGACAGAACTTTTGTGGGTAAGAAATGACAAGAACAAATAAATGTATTACGCACACCACAAGACCATGCCAGGGAAACCCTCTACGGGACAAAAACCCCGGCATAGGCCACACAAATACATGAAACAAATCACCTACAGCAATAAAATGCAAGGGAAAATATACATAAATAAAACATCTCAAATTGTATTATTGTATTAATTGTATTATTATTGATGTAATCAGATAATCAAATCAAATGCAATTAAACGAGTTCATAAAAACAAAATACACAAGACATCATACATGCAGTGGAAAACATGATAAATCAATTCAATACAAAAACACATCAAAATTAATACCTGTACGATCAATTGAGCTAACACAACTCGTAAAATAATAAATAGCATGTACATAGGAAACATGTAAATGAGGCTATATTCCAGCCTTCCGTTAACATAAATTTATTTAACACGAAAAGTACATGTGAGAATGTCAATAGCAAGTA